TTCACAAGTTAATATAAAAGAATCAAATATATACTATTATTATTTTAAAATGAAAGTATTATTTTTATGTCAAATCATGAAATTTTATTTCAAAAAATGAAAGTATTTAGGACCAAAATAGCAAATTAACAAGAAATTATTTTTAATAACTACTAAGAACACCCACTTCCATCTTCTCAGTACTCGGTGATAGATCAATAAGGAGCGCAATTGTATGATTTAACATACTTTTGTCCATTACTTCAAGACATAGCTAAGTGAAATTTCTTAACATTTGATTAGAATTGGATGCTTTTTTGATTAATTTGTTAGTGCATATTTCTACATATTTGATCGGTTTTCCCTGATGGGGTATATTCGCGTAATTATTGGCACATATTTCGCATATTTCGCTAAAATAAAAACTTATATCTAATACGTTTCATTTTTTCTTGGAATATATTTATTTGTAAGCGTTCATTGATTAGAAAGAGCTTGTCACAGATTGAGTTGTGTTCCTTTTCTGTAGATGATAAAATATTTGTGCATGTGTAGGATATTTATCGATGTACTATTTTTTTAAATCGGACAGAACATTGCAACAAGACATATACTAAAGTGAATTTTTACTTCAATTTTTCTCCAGTGAAATAAGTTAATTATAGTCTGTTTGCACTCAAATATACATTTTCATTCCAAGCACGCTCCTTCTGAATTTAAATCAAGAAAGGTTTATGCAGGAAAGGAAATATTGTTAATTTTTATTGCATATCAACATGCATATTTCATAATTTTTAGGTCATAAATGTATGTTTTTATAAGCATATTTCAAGATTTTTAAGACATAAAATCCTCTCCCTACTAATCAATACCAAGTGTTCGTAAGACGATCTATCTTTACAGAAGCAAATCGCAAAGCTCTTTCTTATTGTGGCGTTACGATAAGCTCTGCAGCATGTGAGCTCCAGAAGAGACGCTTGGGTTCATTGGTATTTTTAGAGCAAAGGTCTGCCACACCCTCGCCAGAGATTGAGATTAGTCGGTGACAGAGGTCGTGCCGCAAACAAGATGGCTGACCTCAATGTCTTTACGAAGGTCAGGGTCTATCAGTTGCACAGATGTTCCATTGCTGTTACTGGATGTTTTCGAAGTTGGGCCAGCTGACGAGGCACATGTGGACTACAATTTTATTTTCCTCTCATCGATTGCCATGGACATTGTATAAATATAACACGACATCACAAATACAACACGAGGCATATTTGGCCCACCAAGTCATTTTTCTCTCAGCGGTTGCCATGGACATTGCACAAATATAACATCATCTCAACAAAGATAATTCTACAGATCAACATTTTATTCATTTATTTTATTTTATATGTGTCTATAAATATATTAAAATAAAATTTTATAAATATATTTAGTATATGCCCCGTAAAGGGCAATTGCCCTCTTAATACATAATAGTTAAGCTCTACAATGGCGGCTTTGTAGTTGGGTTTACTATTGTACATATGTTTTGTTTTCCAATTGCAATTTCAATGCCAAACATGGGTGATATTTTTACTAATAAATTCGAAAAATGGGACCGTTAATCTCTTCAAGGGACATCTTTTGCTTGTGTTTTGTGTGCACCGTAAATTCACTACAACAGGCACTCAAATCACATTCCAAGCGATCTGCCTCCGATTCTCATTCAAGACCAAATTTCGCTGCAAAGTAGGGATGAAAACTACGAGACCGTCCTCTTTGGAATGCAACAAAGTTTAGAAAACTATTTTGAGTGCACGTGATCATAGCAACACGGAAATTTGTTTCCGTGTTTTACGAAAACTTTTAAAATCATTTTACTTAGTGAATGTTTACAGAAAAATGACGATAAATCAACCACATGTATTTCAACGAGTACGATGTGTTTTCAGTAAATATCACTCTATGAACATAGTCTTCATGTCAATTTTTTATTTATATCAATGATTTTACTTTCATGTGACGAAACTCTCGATAATGAAATTTTATGTAACTTTTTGAATAGCGTGAAACGTTTTAGCGTAGACCACTTTTGAACCCCACAACTAGAACTGTGCATCGCAGAGGCTGGAAGGTGCTTGAAGGAGTGCAAAAGTGTCTTTTCTTTTCCCTTTTCATTTCGATTGATGGAAATGTCGCAGGGACAAATACCGATAATCGGCAAATGGAGTAGACTGTTCACGGGCAAATGTGAGTGCAAAGGGACTAGAAGGAATATAGAACGTAGCTGAGAAAGGGACGATAGAGCGCGGTCCGTGCCTCCTTTGTTAGGGTACCGCTTCGTCATTCGTCTGGTATTGAACAGGAAACCACAAAACATTACCGATGAAAGTTGCCGACCACTAGAATTCCCCTCGGGACAGCGGGTGAGTTCGACCTAGAATTACAGTGACTCGCAAGCCCACGTCGTGCTCTGCTAGAAACAATCAGCTTAGTTTTGAATTATCACAATTTTGGCCCAAAATTCTAGTGCTTCTGAAGCTGCTTTGCGATCTTTGCTGGATGCTGGTACTATCGATCCATCGAAGGTTCCAACATAGTTTGATGTAGGTATATCATTAGTGAATATGAGATACAATATACACAGAGATGACACTATTATGAGATATATGAATGAATATTGATGTATGAATTATGATATAATATGAGATACAATATAATATGTAAGTCCCAACACACTTCCTTTGGGGACTCTGGATTCTATTGGTGGAAATGATGAGAGAGCTGTTTCATATTTTACGTGGAAGAATGTATGTGTTAAATAGGATTTGGCAAGAGTGATGACTTGGGATGAAAATAATTTTTCTTGATTTTTTACAACGGTCCTTTGTGACATATTTTGTCAAAGGCTTGTGTCACGTCTAGAAATACCGATGCGCAATATCTTCCACTTTCAAAGTCTTCGTTGATCACGTTTATATTTGTACGCAGTGAGCTTGTTCAATTGTTGAATGTTGTAGTCGGAATTGACGGTCTGGAATCAAGTCGTTTTCTTTTCAGATTGGTAGAATCCGTTTTAGGATGAATTTCTCCAGCACTTTCCAGAATAGGTTGTCGGAATTGATGGTCCGGAATCAAATCGTTTTCTTTTCAGATTGGTAGAATCCGTTTTAGGATGAATTTCTCCAGCACTTTCCAGAGAATGTGTAACATTCTGATAGGTCCAAAATGCCAGACGCACGTGGTCTGGGCCCGAGAGCGCATAGCCCAGCCTTCGTGATCCACCTGCGCGTGGCTGGAGGCCGCTGTTTACTAGGCCTGGCTGATAACACGCGTGACTCAGCAAGGGCCGACCTTGCGCCGCGCCGCCGCCGGCCCCTCGTCCCGGCCACGCCCCCTTCGCGCCCGCGATCCCGGCGTTGCCGCTCCGCTCCGCGACGTTGCCGCTTACGGAACGCAAGTGCTGCTTCAGTCGGCGGCATTTAACGCGCGGCGCTGCTATAATCAGCGCTTGACACGATGCGAAAGAACTAGATATGAGGCGAGAGGGCGAGATACGAGGCAAGAGAGATAGATTCGAGGCAAGAGGGCTAGATACGAGACAAGGAGGCTAGATACGAGGGAAAACTAGATACGAGGCAAGAGGACGATATGAGGCTATGGGGCGAGATACAGGGCAAGAGGGCTAAATATGAGACAAGAGGGTTCGATACAAGGTAAGAGGGCTCAATAGGAGGTGGTAGATATGAGGCGAAGGGACTAGATATGAGGCAATGGGACTAGATATGAGGCAATGGGCCTAGATATGAAGAAAGAGGGCTAGATACGAGGCAAGAGGGCTATAAACGAAGCAAGAGGGATAGATACGAGGCAAGAGGGATAGATACGAGGCACGAGGGACAGATACGAGGCAAGAGGGATAGATACGAGATAAGTATAGGGCTAGATACGGCTAGGTATGAGGCAAGAGGAATAGATACGAGGCAAGAGGGCTAGATAAGAGGCAAGAGGGGTCGATAAGAGGCAAGAGAGATACGAGGTACGACGGCAAAATATGAGGCAAGACGGCTAGATACTAGATCATAGGGCTAGATAAGAGACAAAAGGCCTAGATACGATGTGAGATGGCTAGATAGGAGGCAAGAGGTGGTTACTAGAATTATTATTTTCAACTCTTCCACTCTCCGTTGGAAAAATCGAAATCGTGCCAAAATGCAAATGTGCATTTAGAGACGAATTACAAACACAATTTCCTCCGAATCATCTCCGAGGCAAAATGTGTTCTCTGTCCACCTGATACATTCGCTTCAGTTGCGAATGATTCTATGGTTTGTTATTTGCGGTCATTTGTACGTAATACCATATTATGACATTGGAAATTCGTCTACAATAGTACATCTTCTGTTATACTGAATAACTTAAAATGCTGAGAGTTATTTTGCATGGGAGTTAGACCAAGAAGCTCACCAAAACACTGAAAAACAAAAAATCGCGAGATTATACTGCTGCATTTTTGTTCAAAGTTGAGGAGATTGTCTTGATAAAAAGGATTCCAAACTTCGTCATTTGTTCCATACAGCTGAAGCTACACTATCTTTTCACAAGTTCAAAGATGGGTTTGAAGAATTTAACAAGTTGGGAAGAAGTGGAACAAATAACTCTGTATCAAAATGATAAGCTTAATACGATATTCGATACTCGGATTAAAAAATATGATATAAAGTGCTTTAACCACTTCTGCAATTTTCGGAAGTTTTTGACAAAGCAAGCTAATGTTAATGGAGGAGAGCTGTTGTAGTCAATTGAAAAAATATTATCAAGAGATAAAGAATATTGCTTGTTTCTTAGAGTTACTAGGATTTCTCTTGGGTACAGTTTTATGAATATTTGTTACAATGCAAAAAAATACTTTCAGAAATTGTGTCATTAACTAAAAATGTAAGTACTTCAGAAAATAAAGATATACTAGGTGAAGATATTTAATTTGCTAATGATGCTTTTTATGGTCACAATTTTTTGTAACCTTATATGATTAAATGAATTATTATGAAATAATACCTATTATGTATGTTTCAGTTGCAAAACATACAGTTCAATAAACAAAATATAAATATTTTATGATATATTTAATTGTATTTTTTAAAATTTATCTTAAATTCGTAACTCCACTTAGTTAAATGTCATGTAACCTGAAACATTTTTCTTTTTTTTTTATGACTCTACAAATGTCCTGTTTTTGATTACTGTAATCTGTAATCCTTCAAAATGCCATGATTGGAGGAAATACAGTTTTAGTTCTTTCAATATTTTCCAAAACGTTTTTCTAAAAAATTCTATACAAATTTCTAAGTTGTAATAAATATTTGTTCCACAACTTCGAAATAAGTGATATTGGAAAAGATTAACCACACAAAACAAATATTGCCCGATTTTTATAAATATTTAAATATAGAGTGGCTTATGATAGGTCAATAGCTTTTATCCCACCGGGAGCTTCGATACCAAAACTTAAAAGTTGTAACGAAGCTCCTGATTGTATAAACGTGTCAAAGTGATGATTTACCTATTGTCACTGTATTTTAATCGTACAATAGCGAAATGCATTTGGAAATAAAGGTTGTAGAAAATAGAATGCACAGTAATATGATGTATATAATCTTTATTTCTTGCTTTGTTATCAACAAGCAAATAAGCAATATATCTGCAGCAGAAAACATTTATGAACTTGGAAAATGTGTCAGTGGTAAACAAGTTGGTCTAAAATTGACATGGTCTAAAATACTTGATTTCTATATTTCCTTAATTATTTTGTGTCGTTAGAAGAAGGCAAAAAACTCTTGAACAACGAAAAATACATGAACAAGTGCACATACTGCAACATTTATTATTTCACGAAATCAACATTACGATTAAAATATTCAACATAATGTTATTAATTTTATGTTAATGTTAATTATGGGTGCCAGTTGTTGCCTCTGTGAGTTTTACATGGTTTCTCCAGTAGGAACAACGATGACTTCATGAATCTGTAAAGAAAATAACGCGAATCAAAATTGATTTGAAACCATTTCACTACTTTCCGTCATATTGAAATTATGTTATAGATTTTACGTCCTATTAGTTAATCTACCTGTACGTGTGGAGGGGCCGATGTAACGTAGAGAACAATATCTGCAATGTCCTCAGCCCAGAGGTATGGGTCCTTGAAACGCATTTCTGCAGTTACGATCTTCATGTCGTCCAAAATTTCCGTGAATACACTGCCAGGGCTTATCTCCTGCAATAATAAATAAAAATTATTATTTTCGTGCATGCTCATAGGCAAGATTACGGTAATTTAAATTTATATTGAATAGTAACAATATGAGGTGTTGCTTAAGATGCAATCACTACATTCCATTCGATCTGCGCGTTAGATAAACAATATTCCAATAGAAATCAATATTCCAATAGAAATCAATATTCTTATGTATCCTTATTCAGACATTAGAGACATATTTCACTAAGTATCTCTTTATATCATTTAGAGAGAAACGCATCTCTTAAACTAGAATAATAGTGACATATAAGGAACCATTCAAACATTCATTAATTTATCGTTTCTCACTCGCTCTCACTTTCTTAAGAAAAAAAAATTTTCACGATAATACCTTTTATATTTATAGGTATTATAATGGTTTTATTATTTATTTACAACCATCTAGTATACAGTTTCGTATCCCCTTAAATGTTATATTTCATAAGAAATGTTGAAGATCATTTTACCGATTCCATGGGTCGTTAAGTGTTATGCCACTTTGACTAGAATTTCTTAAGGTGCTGTGTGACTCATACTCAATTATTACAGGAACGAGACCAAGGCTTTAGTCCTTTGCGTAATGAACTTTTACTGCAGATCACTGCCGCGGTCCTTTTCTTGCGAGAGCCCCAAAAGGCGCATTTCCAGAGAACTTTACACGCGCTTAAGAAGACTACAAAAGCTATCCTGTAGGGCAGAAGCCTCCAATAATTAACATTTAATATTGTATGTAAATGTCTAAAAATATTTTAACTATATTCGTTTTGCAAAAAACGTTTATAATACTGATTAGTATTGTAAAACAGAAAGAATATCAATGTTTAAAAAGAAAAAAAAACGAAAATGTAGATAAAATTTATTTTAAAATCATATGAGTTATATTTATTATTCTAATTTCTTTAATTTGCAATGGTTACAGTTTTATTTTTCCACTCTCATTACTTCTGATCAATATTTCCAAATGACTACGATAGTTTACCGTGGATTCTCCGATCAACACCAGACGAATTGCTTGTCCTTTTCTTGCCCTTTTACTTGTCCTACTCTCACCCCTACTTATACACCCACACACATACTCTCACGGGAGTACTCAACCCTTCGTTTCACTCACACTACATGCCGGGAGTTTAGAGTTTGTTCTGGCGGGGGTTATGCCCCGCTGGTGGGAGATACCTGGTTCGGGAAAACCCCGCTAACCAGCGTGTAGGTCGGCGCCGGATCTCTCTATCAAGCGGGACAAGATCACCGTCACCACCCGCGATAAAGCATGCTCCACATTTACGGGAATAATGACCATAGCAGTTAAAACAGTTAAAGAATCACTAACAATCAATAAACCGACGTTTAGGTCGGCGTCGGATTGATCGCGGGATGAACAACGCCTCCTCCCGGGACGAAAACACATACACAAGACTTACGGAACTATTTAGCATATCAGTTGACGAGTCCCGAAACACGAAATAAAAGATTAATCAATAAAAAAATTTTATCAAAATGTTTTCTAGTGGATGTATAAAAATGCCGCATGACTCATTTTCGTTGAACTCTCTGAAGGAGCAGTTGGCGCGCTCGTAATCACTAATCAATCAATCAATCAATCAATCGGTCAATCAATCGTTCGTTCAATCAATCGTTCGTTCAATCAATCGTTCGTTCAATCAATCGTTTGTTCAATCAATCGTTCGTGCAATCGATCGAACAATCGATCAACCGATCAATCAACCCATCAATCAACCGATCAACCAATCAATCAATCGACCAACCGATCAATCGATCGATCAATCAATCAATCAAGCAATGCAAATGCCTCGTGCGTGCTCACCATGACGCGGATGCGTGACTTGGCGGCCACCAGCTCCTTCCGCAGCCCCTCCAGCAGCACGCGCACGGCGTGCTTGGAGGCGTAGTAAAGCGCCGACGGGAACAGGCCGCACTGCATGTGCCCGCAGATGCTGCGAACAGAGGAGATGGTCACATCTCTCCTGCTATTCAAGGGAACATGCACTATGCGATCGAGAAGTATCCAATTTGGCATTGATAATTATAAAGTACTCGTCTTTGCGTAACGTGATTTTCAAGTAATCTCTCAAACCTTGTCCAAACTCCGAAACACATATTAAAAATATTTGACAGCTATTTATAAACTACACTTTGGTAATTAGCTCATTAGTATGTGCATGTTTTATTCAGGAGGGGGCGGTGTTCCTCCCCTGCCGGAATATGAGATTCGGCGCCAACTTACATCAGTTTGAAGCGCTCCTCATCTAGGTAAACTATGCGATCAAAAGTATCCGGACACGTCCAAAATGGTGTTGTGGTGTAGTCGTTTTTTTCATGCAGGGGGCTTGCATTCATTGATTTGTGCAGCACTATCACGGCACAGGCCTACATTGATGTTTTAAACACGTTCTTGCTTCCCACTGTTGAAGGACGATTCGGGGATGGCGATTGTATCTTTCAACACGATCGATCACAGGACTGTTGTACCCAAGTTGGCGGGTTCAAACCCGATCGAAGCCGTGGATTTTTAAGGGCGAAAAAATCCTTCGTACTCCTTCCTTCGGAGGGGAAGTAAAGCCGGCTGTCCCATGTTCGTAGATTTACTTGCATGTAAAAGATCCTCAAGCCTAAATGACGCCTCTGAGCTAAATTCAAATCGCCTGTTTCTCGCCCAAGAAATACCTGCTTTCTCTCCTAGTTGGTGAAAGGAGCGTAGCGAAATTTGCGTGGTCAGACGGAAGAGCGGGCCTGATGGCCCGAGTCTCGCCAAGTAAAATAAGGCATATTCAATTCAATTCAATTCAATTCACCTGTTTATACTGCACGGTCTGTGGCGGAGTGGTTACACGACAATAACATCCCTGCAATGAACTGACCTGTACGGAGTCGTGATTTGAATTCTATCGAACACCTTTGGGATGTTTTGGAACGCCGACTTCGTGCCAGGCCTCACCGACCTACATCGATTCCTTTCCTCAGCGCAGCACTAAGTGAAGAAAGGGCTGTCATTCCCCAAGAAACCTTCCAGCACCTAATTGAAAGTATGCCTGCGAGAGTGGAAGCTGTCATCAAGGATAGGATAGGCCAACATTATCGGATTAATCATTTTCGGAATAAATTCAAGGGCGTTGGAGGTATAACTAAATTAATTTTAGTAATAATAATTTTAAAATAATGATTATTTTTACTTACTCACCTGATTTCGCAAGAAGACAGGGTATTTTTTATCGGGAAGCGGCGATTTTTCGTCCGAAAACTAGGCTTATTGGGCTGTGGTAACGGAATATTGGATAAATCTTGTTCATCTATATAGTAAATTACTTTCTCTAATACGCTGTGTTGTCAGAATTCAATAGACGGCAAAACGTCTGTCAAGCGTTTACACCGCTCAGCCTAATTTCTCAAAAATTGGTATTCTCTGATCGACCTAAACAAACTCTCAATTTCAGCTCAAAATTATTGCAGTTTATAAAAAACACTTTATCAGAAACCGCTCTCAATTAAAAAATATATTTTTACAAGGATAGAAGAAGAGACCCTACAAGAATGATAAAGGTTTCATTTTCGTAGAACTCTTTAAATGTTCGAAAATTGCAAACGTTAGTAATGCGAGAAAGTATGTGCGTTTTGGCACCACTTATTTTTGTGAATTCTTCCTGCCACTCACGTTACGCAGATAATAGAACAATTTGAGGGATTTATACGAAAGAATCGTGAATAAAAAATAATAACAAGAAACTTCACCGAAACACAACTAGAATTAGGAAAATTAATAGCTAAGTATTATAGTTTGCAGTATTTATTATTAATAATAATAACAATAATAATAATAAAAACTATTCGAGTTGTACTGAAAATGTAGTACTGGAAAACTACATTTACCTTCCAATGTGAACGATTTGTCCATCATCCACGCCTTTCTCCTTCATCAACTGAATTGCTTCTCGAGTGCAGATGCTTAATCCCAGAACATTGGTGTCCATAATTCTCTTTATTTCTTGTGATTCCACTTCTGCAAACACAGAAGTACTTGCAATGAAATTCCATAAAGAAATATGCTTCCAAAATATGATTGTATTATTAACTAGGCGGACATAGTTATTTGAACGAATTTTTTAAAGCGAAGCCAGAAGGATGTTTAGGGATTTGGGGCTTAAAATACTCCGACATGAACATCCTTTAAATATTAAAATTATCAAGATGTGCATTGGTCACAGTTTTCATCTGTAGTTCCTGAAATAATTCTGTTCATTTTTAGAAGAATTTTGACTGAAACTGCGCTAATAAGTTTTTAATAATTCATGCATTTAATACTTTCATGTATTAAATGCATGAGTAATTTCAAGTACCGAAAGTACTTTCAAGTACCAAAATTTCTTTTAGTTATTGAAAGTTTTCGGTTCTACCTTCCATCTTTCGGTACTGCAGCACCAACAAATACAACACATACAACACAGCATATATATTTATAGGCACTATCCCCACACTACGTTCAACTATTGTAGCCATGGCCAACCCTTAACCACCGAATCAATTTAAGTACTCTTTGGCATTGATAAAATTCGTAACAAGGATTATATTGTAAGATGCACAATAAAATTACATTTTTCAATCATTTCTGAAAAATACAGTTGGAGCACATCTTCTGTAACAATAGTTACTCGTCTCCCTTCTTCCTATTGCAAAAGGTCTTATATTTTCACGCCGTTCTCTGAATTTTATTGACAACAAATCTATAGTCTGCTGTAACTTGTTCTAAAATATCAAATAAATTGTCGAATTCGTGATTTTCCTCCCTTTCAAAGTCCGCGTAAAAGCAGTCTTCTCAAATCACATTTAACTGTCACTCAACAAATAGAAAGCAAAATCCATAACAACCCCCAAACGGAAAAATACGTTGTATGTTCTCGTGATCGTCAATTAAATTTCTATATCACGCGGACAAAGAGATATAAAATGAAGCTCTCTAATAATGTAGGTACTATACATCACACGGCGAAAGTGACTTTCCATCCAACACAATTCGACTCGACCTATCGGTCTTATCGGGAAAGTCTCACATCTAGTCATGAAAACATCTACTTTCATGCCTAGTAAATTATTTCAATTCCTTACGTAACACAAAGGGAACCGCCTTAGAAAGAAACTGTGAGGTTTAGACGACTACTACATCCTACCGCAAGTGAGACTTTCCATCCAGTTTGTTCTCACGATGAATAATAATTTCAACGGGTCAAGTTTACAAGTTAGTGAATTACAGGTTAGCATCGAGTAACTAGTACCATTCTCCTGTAAAAAATTCATTTAAAAAGTATTTTATAGGAGTGAAAATCAAGCGTTAGACGCTTTCTAAAAAATGAATATTAATAAACCCGGACCAAACACAAATTAACTTTGCGAAATGTTGATTTACAATTGGGAAACGGTTCGGTAGCTGTGACAGGTAGATTTCCTTGGATTCTCCGATCAACACCGGGCGAATGCCGGAGCTGTACCCTAACAAACGGGCTACTGATCTCGAGCAATCTTTCCTTCCCCTTCTTTGACCAATCATCTCCCCTTACACACACTTACACTTACATGCACGACACTACAACACATGGGAGACCAGGCGGGAGCGTAGGGCTTGTCCCGGCTGGGGCGGTGACCCGCTGGCGAGAGATACCTGGTTGAGGAAAACCCCACTAGCCGACGATAGGTCGGCGGCGGATCTCGCCATACAGCGGGGAAAACTTCACCGCCACCTCCCGAGCAAAAAACCTGCACTATACTTACGGGAGTTGCGACCTTAACCGTCGATGCACCCGGAATAACTAATAACAATGAGTAAAAATGAACGGCGGGTCGCGCGCACCTGAGAGCTTCTGCTCGCCGACCACCCCGGCGTTGTTGACGAGCAGGTGGACGACGCCGAGGTTGTCCTTGACCCACTTGAAGGCCGCGAGGACGTCCTCCTCCCGGCTGACGTCGCACTTGAGGCAATGGAGCGCGCCCTGGGTGGCGGCCTTGCCCCCGATAGGCACGCGACCACGGCCCTCCGCGCCGCGCCGCGCCGCCGCCACCGCCTCCTGAAGCACACACGCACCCCCAGATCACAGCCGGGCCCGGATAGGGTTACTTCATAGTACTAGGGCTTACGTACTTACTAGGGTTCATTACTTTTCGTCTCTCTCCCTTCTGCGTCCGTGTCGCTCTCTCTGTCCCTCTGTGCCTCTCTCTATTTCCCTTTATCTGACTCTGTTTCTGTTTGTTTCTCTCTCTCTCTCTCTCTCTCTCTCTCTCTCTCTCTCTCTGCGTCTCTGTCTCTCCGGCCCGGCTAGAGTTACTAGGGTACTTACTAGGGTTCATTACTTACTAGGGTTTTTTATAATAGAAGCATGCTTCGATTATGAAAAGAGAGGACATTTCGTCTAAAAAAGAGGACAATTCATATAAAAGGTTCTAATATAATAATTAATTTCTTTAAAGACAAAATACTACTGATGAAATATATATTGGAATCACTTTCACAATCTCACAATAGGCCTACTTGCCTTTTCAACTTTTCTACCAGAAGTAGATGATGAAATCTCCGTCAACATTATTTTATTTCCTAACTAGTCGACCCAACAATGCTTCGCTATTGCAAGGTGTTGTACTTTACATGCTACTGGTCACGTGATTGTTAATCACGTTTTACAAAACGCTACGCAAAAATTTCAATAGACGACAGACTTTCTCGCGAGTGTGGTTTCGTCTCTCCGTATTTTCGTCTCTCTCCCTGTCTGTGTCCGTGTCGCTCTTTCTGTCCCTCTGTGCAGCTCTCTATTTCCCTTTATCTGACTCTGTTTCTGTTGGTTTGTTTCTCTCTCTCCCTCTCTCCCTCCCTCTCTCTCCCTCTCTCTCCTTCTCTCTCTCTCTCTCTCTCTCTCTCTCTGCGTCTCTGTCCCTCCGGCTCGGCTAGGGTTACCGTACTTCCATTATGGAAAAAGAGGACATTTCGTCTAAAAAGCTATGTTTCTCTCTCTGCGTCTCTGTCTCTTCCTGTATCTGTCTCTCTCGGGAGAAATTTCACAATCGCAGGGGCAGAATGCGCAATGAAGACGTCTTAATAATTTACTCCAACACGAATAAAAAACCCTTACCCTTTCACCGTCTTTCTAAACATATTCTCCAACAATTGTGAATAGTGTAGCGCAGATTGTAGCTTCCTATCCCTTCCTGTAGTTAGAGTTAGCTTTTAGATTAGGAAGTAAGAATAGTTATAAGCCATACAATACATATGAAAAAGTGATGTAAACTGAACTATGTACTTCCGAATGAAAAATAAATATGTTTGAAAAAAGTCTTAATAATCATACTGCATTGTACAACGGGTTGCGTCAAGCGCCGTTATGTAGAACGCCCTATTCACGGCGCTTGAGTCAGCATAAAAGCATCATCAACGCGCGCCTATGTGCGCAGGCATTTCCATCGTTCTATGCCTATATTCTTCCTAGAAGTGCAAGTAATAAGTTGACAAAGCTTTTTTTGCAATCTTTAATAAATAAAATAAACAGTCATAGAAACTCATAAAGGTTAGATGCTTAAAGTTGTATTGAACACACACTATTCTTTAAATATGTTAAATCTTCTCCTGCCTTTGGACCACTGTGTATTTATAGGAGAGATGATTTGGTGGCGGATTGTGTCAGCATTGTGCGCAAGGATTGGAAAATAAAATTCGCCAAGTTGTAGAAGTTCAAAATGGCACACAAGACATGGCGACTGAAATATTAGTCATATTAACTGACGGTATTAACTTCACAGGGCCAGCAAAATTGTATTAACATCATAGAGCACAGAATCTATAACCAGCAATATAATAAGTTCAATCAAGCATACGTTCTACAATAAAGGCAAATGTGTCAGAGTAATAATTTTTGGGCTGTGTTGTATCATGTTCGATAAATATGTGACTTCACAGCAATGTTTGGAATGGCGAAAATATGAAATGTTAAAAAAGTCTCTAGACCTACGAGATGCACAAGGTACAAGACTGGATTGACAGCCTCGATGGGAACGAAATGCGGTTCAAATCAATGGGCAGAAGACAAAGGTCATATATTTTCAGTAAATAAAAGAAATGATAATAACACAGAATTAAACCATGTGATTCTTCAAAATGCTGGAAAAAATATCAGGTTTGCAAAAAAAAAAGCCAGAAAATGCCTTCATTTAGCCCCCTCTTTCTCACCTGAATCTTCTCCTTCCTGCGGGCGAGAGCCACTACGGTAAGTCCCGCATCCTGCAGCTGGTAGGCGATGGCAGCGCCAATACCCGCGCTCGCACCCGTGACAACAGCGACACGTCCGCGCCAACGCTCCATCGCGATCAACTGTGGTTCCAGATCTGGAGACAGAATTTACGAGTGCGTCTCTCCCCTCTTCTCTGTTGTCCGTTATCCAATCATGTTTCAGATACGGCTCCTAATGCTGGCCTTGTCTGTGAAGTGCCCTCACACTTGATGTAGGACACCTCTTGAGTAAAGGCGTTGAAGAAATGAAGGTTGTAATGCAAAATGATGTAATGTCTGTAATGGAATGTGACAACGGGAAATATTTATGATTTAGCAGAAAGAGCTCAATATAATCCACGAAAAAAGTATTTTATTTTGATGTTGTGGAGGCCTTTGCTTGACCAATAACTCACATAAGAAACATAGTATTATAATTATATATTATGTAAAAGTATATACAATAAATAAGTATATATTATATAAACATAATATTATTAACATAATATTAAAATCATATATTTAATTAACTTTAAAACATTAATCTACTTGAAGATCAATAAAACTCATGCAACTCGAAAATATTCTAAAAGAACGAAACAAAGAAAGATTATTTTCTGTTTGAAAATTAGGTAGATATAGTTTGTTGCATAAAAGAGGATATGCAGTTGCAGTCACAAAGATATAACTCAACACATTTCAACGAAACACAGATCTTCTCCTCATATTACTTAAAATTACGTATGTAAAAGTATGAAAAAAATACAGTCGATTAAATTACAAACCATATAGTTTAGTTTATTTTGATAATTAGTGTAGAAAGCATAAACTATCAATATTTCAACTGATTCTCAGAAATCTTTCTTCTTCAGTCTGTTTGAAGCACAGAAAAATCAAATTCTTAATATGGTCAAATGATCACTTCAAAAACTAGTAGTGCTAGAAAATTACATAGAACACACACATGGAATGTTGTTTAGATTGCAAATTCTGCACATCAAACTACTTATCGTAGCTCCACTGAATCGGGGTCACATGTGCCTGACATAATGACGCCAAGGTTACGAGTTGTTTTGATAAAACAATATAGGCTGTATTTCAGTAGGTGAAGAGCTTTATATATGTACACTTTCCTGTCATTGTGCTACTGAGTTTCATTATCATCCTAAGTTGGCTGCTGATAGCATTTTCATTCTTCACATACAGTAGCTGTCGGTGTCAATAAATAGCGACTCTATATAATATCGAATATTACCCAAATAGCGATCAAATGTAGCACATCTTATTGTAGGAGAAAGCCCAATTGTTTAAAAATATGTGGTCGCAAAGACGGGAATCCATTCTTAATATTTGTCTTATAAATGCGTTCCTTCCAGGAAGAATTAACAAGTTTCTTAATTTCGCCGTGCAAAAGAACAGTTATACTTATTAACATGAACCATAACGTTTGTGACGATTTTCGGCATCATCTCTGCAAAGGATGTACTCTAACTTGGTTATTGTTCCAATGCACACCTTGAACTGAATATTCAAAATAAAGAAATAATTTTCAGAAAAAATTACTATTATAATTCTGTTCGGATAGAAATTCTTCCTTGTATTGAATCAATAGCAGATTTGGTTGCTAAACAATAAAAAAGTGAGGCAATAAAAATATAGGCTAAAAGTAGGCTGAAGAAAATTGGCCAGACCTGAAAGTAAACTCGAATTTCAATGGAATGACTTGTAATTTGTCTAAAAAGTCATTTATTGAGGTTAGAATAGTGTCCAAATTCTTGTGATCAACTGTAATCCACTGCTATAAGTTAATTATTTCTGCGTAAAATAATTATTTAATATTCTTCATTAAGTTGATAGATTCTAGGCAATTTGAGCATTCCCGTATAATAGCAAAAGAATTCCTCTTCCAAGTCCTTTCTTCTTCCAAGCCCTACCTTCTTCTGATCTATAGTATTTTTGAACTTTTATCACAATGCACAGTTGAAATGCGAGTTTACTTTCAGGTCTGGCCAATTTTCTTCAGTCTACTTTTCAGCCATTATCATGTGGTCGATTGCTTCGATGGATCGTTTTATTTTACTGCATGTCCAACTTTCAAAAATTGTCAAAATATGAACTTTCAACGTCTTCTCTGATGAATGAAAAGAATCGATTAGTTTCTTGATGAAATATTTGTCTGATTTTTCAATGAACATAGAAGTATTTTCAATGTCATCATTTTTATCTGCGAACGCTCTCTGAACTTTCGGAAATTTATCATTGGGATAACGTTTTTGTTGCAAATTTCGTTTCTTGAAGAGGGGTTTTCGTATTTATATTAAACTATTGTTTAGAATCTCTACATTTATTTCGCAGACACCTGACAAACTATCTGAAGAGCATGAATTTTCATTTCCTTGATTTCCTTTTGTTTCACTATAAGTTTCGCTACTTGCATTAATGTAACGGTAGCCACAGATTCGACGTACTTTTCACCAACAGGAAGACGTTTTGGAAGCCAATTCACTTTCTCCTACAAGAATAATATATTCGCAAATCTAATGACTCCTCTAAATCAAGTTTCACTAACAAATCGCTGTTTAAGCGTTTTTCAGATTTTCTCTTCTTAAAATCATAAACAGAGAGATTAAATTGATTACAACATCTATCGTATCTCACACGATGATCGCCACTCAGGCCTCTTTACACACGATACACAGTGCAAATTCTAGCACTCTTCTGGTAACAAGATACTTATACTGACTGATGTTCAGAAAAGTTTACTCGTGTCCCTTGACAAGCGATCTACTGTATTTTATGAGCGCGGTCAGAAGGACCCATTCATAGGGCCCAGCAGTAAAATTCGTTTCACTGACACGTGGAAAATCAATAGTAGAATCCGTTTCGCTGCCATCCATCCCTT